GTGTGGGGGGGGGGGCTGGAGTGACAGCTCTTGAGATGCCATCTTCACAGAGCTCTCTCTCTGCTGTTGCCCTTGACTACTAGTGAGGAGACAGTAGCTTCCGTCTCTGCAGATTTCCCCATCCTTTCCACACACCCTCTGCCCTATCCAAGGACAAAATTCCTGTTGCAGAAGATTCGGGAGACATGTGTCAACTTGGTTCTTAGAATTTTATAATTTAAGGAGTGGACAGAGAATTCTAACTTGCCATTCTGTTTTCTGACTCTGCCAAACCTTCAGTCAGACCCATGCAAACCATTCCCGAGAGTTTCACAGCACCCTTTCCCACTGCACCTTCCTGTGCCCAGGTGTCAGAGCCGCCCAGCTCACTACCAGATTATCCCTTGTTTGTCTCATCCTGTGGATACTGGAAGAAAGTGCTTGGGTTGGTTCAAAAACAAGACACAGGGCCAGTGATGCTTTCCCAAGACTAGAGGTGGGGAGAGAACCGACTCCTGCAAGCTGTTCTTTGATCCACCTATACATGCATGCATGTTCACATATACCCCCAAAATAAAAACAGCAAATGACCATGGTGGTATATACCTTTAATCAGAAGGCAAAGGCAGGTGAATTTCTGTGAATTAAAGACCCACTAAGTTCCAGGACAGCCAGAGCTATATAAAGAATTCTGTTCCAAAAAACCAAGGCAAACAAAAAACACCACCACCAACAACAACCAAGAAACAAAGAGAGAGTCAAGGTATTGCTCAGGATAGGAAAAGGATGACACCCCAGATCTTCCTCCAGTACTATTTCTCCAGACTCACACAAAACAGTAAGCAGTAAAGTAAGAAAGTGGTGGGTGAGACAGATTAAATGAGGGTGTAACCTTCCAGGCCCCTGCCCTCCTCCAACTCCATCTCAGTTGCAGCCATGGTAGGGTTAATCTTAGAGGCTGAGACTCAAACAGCTGGAGGACACTGGGAAGGGGAGGGGAGGCTCATAGTCTGTTCCTTGAGCCCTTTTCTGAGGTGGGGACAGGGTGACTGGGGCCAGGGCTTTTGTTAAGAGGAAGAGCCTGGTGCCAAGGATCAGGCAGACTTAGGCAGCAGAGGGCTGCAATGCATGGTGGGGGGTGGGCAGGGGCAGGGGACGGACGAGGGTGTTGGAGACTCAAATCTTATACCAAGCATATTGGGCCGAGGAGTTCAAGGGTCCTTTTCTATGAACTTGGGAGTTGGAGAATGCAGTTGAGGTCACTTCCAAGGATGAGCACCACCTGAGAGGCAGGCAGGGGCAGGGCTTAAGCAGCTAGGGGTGTCAACATCCTTTGCCAGTCTTAAGTAGTTCAGATTTAGGAAAGCCAGAACTCCCCCAACACAAACAAGGTCACGCATTCAATCTAGATGGAACAGAAAGCGATTTCCTCTCCAGCGACATCTCCACTCCAATAGCTTAATGGTCCCTAGTGTATCCTCACAAGACCTCTGATCCCTCTCCCTGACCTGACACAAGACCCCAGCCCTAGCCCTGGGGAGTAAGTCCATTATGTCTCGAATCCCCTCCGGCCTAGGGGACAGCCCTGTTTCCCTTTTCTTCTCCCCCAGCTCTGCCGATGAAGGGGGCCACCTTGTTTTCCCTTTATCTTTGCAGAGGACCATCTTAAGAGGTGGCATGCTTCCCATGACCAGTTCTAGGGTCGGGGATGGGCTTTGGGTGTGAAGCTGAGTGGGCAGGAGGGCAGGTGTCTCTGCAGTGAGGCAGAAGGGGGGTGCTCAGGCAGCTGCAGTTTGCCGCAGTGTGTGAGTGTGCGCGCTGAGCTCAGCCTCCAGCTCCGCCCCCACCCCCCACCCCAGCATGACAAGTCATTTTCTTGGCTGCCTCTGCATGGGGGGTGGGGTGGGGACGGGGTGCATACAGAGAAGAGACTGGCTTCTCTGTTGGAGAGCCCCCATCTTGGGAAGAAAAGCATAGATGAGGTGCGGGTGGGGCCGAGACAGGGAGCCCATGGGGTTGACAGGACCCGGAATGTAAGGCAGCTGCCAATGCTCTCAAGCTCCTGAGTGGCCTCAGAGAGGCCACAAAGGGGGGCTTAAAGCCTGGGGCTCACTCAAACTGGCCACAGGGAATGGGGTGAGGGAAGCCAAAAAACAAGCCAGTTTAAAACAAACCAGTTAGCCTGTGAGGAGGCACATGCCACATCTTAGTGAACCATTCCTCCCTGTCTTCCAGCGTGTTACCCACCTTCCCTTACTTGGCAAAAACTCAGCTGCCCCACTCACCCCAGAATAGGACCAATCTAGCTGATAACCCAAGAACCCTCCCAGTAGGTACATTCCATAATAGCCCCCTTCTTTTCAGATTCTGTTTTTCCTCAAAGACATAGCCCCCAAATTCCTCCTGTGCCCTGGCTGCCAGGAAAAGCCTGTGGCACCACCCTCTGTTGCTGCCTCTCAGCTGACGGTCCCCACCCCCACCTAGTACAGAGGTGAACTGTCATAGCCTCTCTTGGTTCCACCGGCTCAGGATCCAGGCTGAAACCCATTCAGTAATGGTCACCTCCTCTCTCCATCTCAGGCAGCCTTCGCACCAGGCTCCCCTAGGTCCAGATGCATCATATTTACAAGGTATCAGCTGCTCCCCATCCTAAGTCCCTATCACAGCACCCCCATCCCTCTGCCATGTCTTAGGCTCTTACCCTGGGGTGTGGGAGGGAGCCCCTCATGGAGGCATCAGCTCCGGCCTTAGCCGGGTGGCTTCAGAGAAGAGTCTGCGGCACTTGGGGTGGGAGTGAGGGGGGGCTGCTTGCCGGGGAGGGCGGTGCCAGGGCGGGGAAGAGGGGCTGGTCTGTGACGAGGCACTGGAGACTTAACTGTTTCTTAGCCTTCACAGTGTCAGCGTCCTGGTGCTTCTGCTTGGCTACAGGGAAGGGGAGAGATCTAAGATGTTGTCTAGCAGTTCAAAGAGCCAGATGGATCTCTCCTGCAGCTCTGAGTACCTTCTCCCCAAATCCTGTTTAGTTAAGAAATACTCTCTCAGCATCAACCAAAGGACCAGAGCCTCACTGGGAAACAGAGCCAGCTATAGGAGGCAAGGGCCGCATGGGCCCTCCCCCTTCCTCTTAGAAACCATCTGCTGCCTCTCCCCTCAGAAGGACCCAGAGAGTGACCTTCAGTGACATCAAGAGCAGGAGACAGAGGCTCGGGGGGG